GGGTCTTGGGTGGTCGTCGTGCAAAAAAGTCGGCAATATCAAGATGCTGTGTGTGTAAGCGACATAATAGGTCTGTTTCTGCAGAAATCACAAACCAGTCAAAGTGAATTTAATTGGTTGAAACTAGTTTTCTGACTGTTTCTGACTGTTCTCAACCAATGAAATTCGCTCTGACTGGTTTATGATTTCTGCAGAAACAGACCCAATAGCAAACCGTTCCAAGCAAGTGTTGTTCCATTACCTTTGGATCGTGTTCGCGACGCACAAGTATTCGAGGTGACCGGTGTGGACTTTGCGGGCCCGTTTTATTTGAAAGACAGTGAAAAAGCCTGGATAATACTTTTCACCTGTTCGGTCTATCGTGCGGTACACTTTGAGCTTTGTACTTCGTTAGCGACGACAAATTTTATGCAAGCTTTGCGACGATTTATCGCACGACGCGATCGACCAAGGACAATGTATAGTGACAACGGTACAAACTGTGGGGACAGAAAACGCGATTGGAAAATTGGACTGGAATAAAATCATTTCCGAGAGTTGTTTTCATCGTATAACCTGGCGATTTAACCCTCCCACTGCGTCCTAGTGAAGCGGCTTTTGGGAAAGACTTATTGGTGTGTTAAAACAGCTAGTGCGTGAAACACTTTGACGTGCATGTCTAAACTATGCAGAGTTACTTACTGTTTTGCGTGATTGCGAAATGGTCATAAATTCGCGACCATTGACCTATGTATCGACAGATGTTTCAGAAATGGAACCCGTTAGACCAATAATGTTTCTTGAAGATAGACCTGAGAATGGTGTTCTAGATTTAGACGATTTAGACCTTGTTGACAGTCAGTCCTTGTGTTGACGAGTCACTCTTCAGAAAAGACTACGAGAAGAATTAAGACGCAGATTTCGCAGCGAATATTTGCAACATAAAACTAGAAGAAATTGTCTTGATTGGTAACGATGCACAGAAACATTTAGATTGGCCTTTGGGACGAGTTACTGAATTATTGATTGGCAAAGACAACCGAGTGCGTTTGGTGAAATTGACTACTGACAGAGGTCAACTGTTACGGCCTATCCAGAAACTATGTGATTTGGAATGCGTACCCCATGGCCATGAAGCCCCTGGAAAACGTTACTGATTTCAGTGTGGTTAATGATTCGAAGTCAGAATGTCACGATGTTGAAGACTGTCGTCCTGAAATCTCAGCGACTTGTGAAAATAGTACGGGTAGTGCAGGAGTGAAAAATAATGCATTCGTTCCGTCAGTAAAGGAAGATACCGTTCACGTTACTCGCACTGGTCGTACCATTCACAAACTTTTGTTGGATGTTCCTATAATATGAATCTTGTATTTTTTTATTGAAACTTATAGTACCATATTGAACGAGGTATTGAAATGAGACACTTATAAAAAATGTCTGTAGTATCTATCTCAGGTGGGAGAATGTCGGATCCCGTTGTTTTTTTCTGTATGTACCAGGTGTACCAGTAGTACCTACGACTTTTTTAATTAACAGTTGTCACTCATCAAGTATTCAGATACAGTTCACGTTGTATAGTTATTTTCCCAACAAGTGCGCAAAGTGATACTTTCCCGCACGAAAAATTTATTTCCGCTGTGCACAAAAGGTACATTAAACAATGTTATTAGGGGAATTGTTTCTTTATAAACCTCGAACCGTCGAAAGACCATTAAGACGGGTAGTTTTTCTGGGGCTCAACACAGTGTGTCCAAGATAAGAATGAGATAGCGTCAGGAACTGGAGAACGGTTGGAGTTACGATATTGGTTAGATCATAAAGAAGTTGCGTAATTTAACGCTCAATGAAATGGTACCTAGATATTTCAAAAATTCCGAACATTTTTCGAGTTATCTGGAAAAAACCGAAATTTTGGAAAATCGATTTTATTTTTTCCTGAGCTTATTTGAGGAGATATTTCAAAATAAATGTCACTTCATCGTAACACTTTTCCTACTCTACAAGTTGAAATAATCACTTTTTAAATTTGACGTTTCGTCTTTGGGCCACCATCATCGTCAAGTTTGGTAGGCAATTACTAAAAAGTAAAAAATAGTAGTTTTCCTAATCAGTGCGCAAAGTTATGTTTTCCCGCACGCGAAAGCAGTTAGACGAACGACGCGAAGCGGAGTTCGGATATGCTTTAAGTGCGGGAAAACTACTTTGCGCACGTGTGTCCTAACCCAAACAGGGGGTTCCCAGATTTTATTATGGGTACCAGAAAAAAAAGTGTGCGGGAAAAAAAGAAAAAAAGTTTTTTTCTACTACCGTTCGTAAAGTACTCACTTTACGCACTATTCAGAAGACGTAAAATTTCACTTCACGCACGAGTGCGTAAAGTTATTCACTTCACACACTAGTGCGTAAAGTAATGTCAGTGACAGATGTCAACACTGTCAATTTGACATTTTTCTGGTAAATTACTTCACGCACTAGTGCGTAAAGTTAAAATTCTTCACGCACTAGTGCGTAAAGTATTTGTCTAAATTTATTTTTTTACACATATTTGATTGGTAGTAGAATAGTATATTGTGTATTTAGATGGAAAAGTGACACATTCTCGGCCGACGGTGTAAGTTGACGGGCGAGGCGTAGCCGAGGCCGGCAAACACCGAAGGCCGAGAATGTGCTTTTCCACCGAAATACACATACTATTTTTTCTGCGATCGCTTAAATACCTGTTAAATGTTTGTCTTTTAGTTCCAATTATTCAGCAATACGAGAATCACTTTCCCGGCCTAGGCCGGAAAAGTGTTTCCCGTATTGTTATTCATTGATTCCTTAGCAACTATTGAAACATAATTGAAATACCAGAATATTGAGTTTTGCGACCGGTCAACTGGTCAAAAATGCTGACATTTCTTGTCAATCGCAGAAAAAAAAATTTGTATGCAATAGGTGCGTAAAGCACCTTTTTTCACTCATGTGATTGTCGCACTCGCGTTTGGCTCGTGCGTCAAAATTCACATTCGTGAAAAAAGGTTCACTTTACACACTTGTTGCATAAATAACTATTTCCCGCACACTTTTTTTTCTGGTACCCATAATAAAATGTGGGGACCCCTATTTCGGGAGCAAAGCCCTGCGATGGCCCCAAATTTGGGGGGCGGAGCCCCGCGGGAGCCACTTTTTTAAGGGGCACAGCCCCGCGGCGGCCCCTTTTTAGGGGGCGAAGCCCCGCGAGAGTCCTATATTTGGGGAGCGGAGCCCTATATCTGCCTGCGAGAGCCCCATAATTGGGGGGCGGAGTGCCGCGGGAGCCCCTTTTTTGGGAGCACAGCCCCGCGGGCCCCCTTTTTTAGGGGGCACGGCCCGCGGAGAGAGGCCGAAATTTTTTTTGGCCGATTTAGATATACCTGGTTAGCTATCACAAATTGTTTTTGATGCCTATAGAAATTAAAAATTTAAAGAGGGAAGTATAGTTATTTCACTCGTAGAAAAAATATTGTTCCTAACACGTGCGCAAAGTTGTTTTCCCGCACTCAAAGCTTATCCGAACTCCGCTTCGCGTCGTTCGTCTAACTGCTTTCGCGTGCGGGAAAACAACTTTGCGCACTGATTAGGAAAACTACTATTTTAGAATAAATGCGACACGTCATAGGTTTTGGGACATCAGAAGCTCTTAAAATCTGAAATAGAAAATCAAGGGTCGTATTTGAAAAAATGAAGTTGATGATGGTGGCCCGAAGACGAAACGTCAGATTTTAAATTTGAAAATGTCATCTTGTAGAGTAGTAAAAATTGTTACGATGAAGTGACTTTTATTTCCGGATATCTCGAAAAGTGTTCGGAAACCTTGAAGTAGTATTTCATAGAGCGTTAAATTGCGCAACTTTTTCCTTATTCAACCAACATTGTAACTCCAACCGTTCTCCAGATCCTAATGCTATCCCATCCTTATCTTGGACACACTGTATACTCATTGTTTTGCGGTGTATGGTGTGCCCAAAGGACTCAGTACCAATTTAATATCAAAATTCTTAAGCAAATGTAACATGAACTAGGATCTTAAAGTAATGCAGATCTTAGAATAATTTGTTTATGCCTCTGAGACTTTGCACAAATTAAAAGACTCTACAGAAAGTAAATGGAAAGATTTGAGTTTCAACGGCTCAAAATGTTAGGGGTTTTGAGCCCTTTGAACGTGCTGAGATTTTTCAAAAAATTCAACTTTGAAACAACTTTTTGCCTAAATTCCCGAATCAATTGATAAATTTAAAATAACATAAGTTTTCCCAATTCAACAACAATTACCTAATAGATATCGATAATTCTCATAATTGCCTCAGCGGTCCACCATGACTCCAAAGAAATATGCTCAATAATCGTTAAATTCCAAATGAAGGCCTGTTTAGAATTAATAATTATTGAGGCTCAGCAGCAGATCAGAATCAAACCAATATAAGAACAAGTTCCAAATGACAGAAATTGATAAAGAAAGTAAAAGTGAATCGATATTTTAGATATAGAACAAGTTCATCAGATAAATCAGGCAGTTCTAAAAATAATTCCATATTTCATCTAAATTTTGAATTGGAAAAACTCCTGATAAATCGTTGGCTTTCTATTTTTTGCGTTATTTACATTATTTTCATAATCTATCCAAAGTTACTCGAACCAGAGATTGGTGCAGTTTGTTGCAATATAATCTCGAGCGGATGGTTTTAATAAAATGTGTAAGTTTAAATTTAGGAATTATTTTCATGGCAAACCAACCAAGACATTGATGTTTATCCGTTACCATAAACCGTTGCACAAACCTACACACTCATTCATCAAAATGTTTGATAAATGAATTGTAGGCGGTCAATAAATTCACAGTACAATATCTGTAAATTACAGCAAGCACAGTCTTTTTATTAGATATTTTAAGTTCAATAATCGAACATCTAGAATTTAACGCCTTTTGTTATTTATATCTGATATCTATTGTAACAAATAAATCAAAAATAAACCTTGTTTATTAAAAAAAAATCTTGTAGGTGTCCTAAAAGAATTCGTCCTAATCATGACACCAGAAACGATGCAAACCCTCGTACCTCTCCTCTCTCATTGTCACTCGGCGTTCCAAGACAGTCAAGACGCTGTGCCCTTGGGACCTTATTTTCCACGCAGAGGACACTCGGTACCGATTGTGGCTGGAAAAGGCGGTGCCAGACCTCTACGGCCAATGGTACAAATGACAGTTCCACAAAACCAATTGGATTGCAGCAGGGTAAGATTTTGTCTGTTTTTTTTTGCATTTTGCTACTACAAGGAAAAATTTAGGGTGTGGATCTAGAGTATGACAAGGCCTTGGATAAGTTCTACGCTCCCTATCATGATTTTATAGATACAATGTTCCGATTGGCTGTGAATAACGATTCAGTACAAGAAGTATTAATTAATTTAAGCGCCGTTGTCGGATTTGAAGCAGTACCATTACATTCCACCTACTTTCCCAAGCTGTGGCTGGATATATTAAAGGCTCAGGTACACACTTGAAAACCAATTTGTGTAGCTGAATTAATTTGTATGTTTTTCAGCACTTGGATAGGAAATATATAAGCATGTTATCGGCCTGTAATTATTTCGTGGATTATGTGGACGCAATTTTATTAGATGAACGTTTAGCGTTAACGGTCGACGTGATTTATGAATTTTTAACTGCGTTTTTTCCAAAAGTTGCTGCTCATGTGCTAAGTGAACAAACTTTGAAAATGATCGATTCTACTGTAGAATCTTTAAATGCCACCATTAGCTCTACGGATGCTTTGATAAACCCGAAAAGACTCACAGGAGACTTGAGGGCGCTTACTTTAGTTTACAAATCACCTCAGGGAAAACCTCCAGTCACTCTTAAAAGTAATTTGAAGGTGTTGCAGGGGAAACTTAAGGCGGAAATTGGTAGAATGGATAGTAATTCGGGTAGGTTGTTTATTTTTTTTTTAGGAATTTGGTATGCATTACAGCAGGTAATTTTTAGAAAAATCCGAGCCCGTGTCTGTTGAAAATAAACCTTCCACGTCGAAAGAAGGTGCCAAAAGTGACGATGAAAAAACTAAAAAGGACAACGAAGCGCAAGCGTCAGCGTCGAGTAGTAACAGTGAAGACGGGAGCGACCCAAGTAAAGATACTAACAAAAAACTTAATGAGGCATTAAGCAATTTGACAGTGCTTGAAAAAAGCATCCACGAATTAATTTTAGTTTTAGATAAATGTGATCCTGGCAGCGGCGGCAAGCGAAGTTAGTTTTAAGCGTTATAAGTTTGAAAAAAAAAAAATTATTTAATAAGGTGGCAAAAGTGATCTGCAATGTTTGTAAGTGTTTTGTTTTTTTTTTTAATTAATTACAAATATAAAAAGGGCTGGATCCAGTGGGTCTAAGGACCCCAAATTTCAACCCCAAGAGGTGTCATAAACCAACTTAGTTGAATTAGTTATGTCAGATTTATTTATTGCCAACTGAAAAGTATCTGGTAACATTTTATACTTGGTATGTATTATAATATGTATATAGGGTGTCCTTTTTAGTTGTACATAAGGGATAACTTGATTGCTTTAGAGTTAGAAGAATGCGGTGTTCGCGAACGTTGGCTACTTTTTTGTCAAATGAAATTGTCATCGCCTTTTTTGTTTTTCAGATACAAGATGCTTTTGAAAATGTAAATAAAACACAAAAGTACTCAAAAATAAATAGTCATATAGTATCACTATAGTAGTCCTTCCAGCTGTAGTAAGCCCTTTGCAACAAAATATCCTTAACACTCCTACAAAATAGTTCGTAGTTCATTACTTAGATGGTTAAATATTTTTTTTGCTCTCATATAATATTGTGTGTTTTGCTAAGGGCCGGTTTCTCAACAGCAAGTCACCCCCGGGTTAAGCATAACTCCAGGGTAAACATTGCTACTGGACACGCATACCAGAAAGTTAAAATCAAGCCAGAGGTGACTCGCTATTGAGAGATCGCACCTAAAGTGGACTTTGGTATAGATAAGCCTATATTAGTGTTCGAACTTACTTTTGTATTGTACACAATATCCCGAGTTTCCAAACCTGAATATTTCTTGTGCACAAGACGCACAGTTTCTAAAAGCTAATTTTTTTCCCTAATAAATAACGGTTGACATTGTTCACGACCTGCAATTTTATACAAATAACGAATTGCCCTCTTTTGTGAAACAAATATTGAGTTAAACAGTTGCCTGTTATTAAATTCCTGAAAAGCTATACCATATATCTTACATGAGACTCCAAACCATTTTTGTGGTAAAACAACTAAGTTTGTTGGAAACTATTCTGATTGCAACGCAACCAGCAGACAACATTCTACTTAGTGTCCTTATATGGTCCTAAATTTCAGTTTAGATTTGAGACGTAAAAATTTTGTGAGGGGTTTATTTTCTATAATTTCATCATTTAAATACAAATCATTAAAGCAAATTTGTATCACTTCAAAGGTTACCTTTACGCAGGTCCCTATCAACAGTTAATTTGAGGTCATCCCTGTTTTTACCATGCCAAAGAAGAAGTCATTTAAATACAACAAAAATAAAATAGGTCCCAGAACAAAGCCTTGTGGAACGCCTCTTGTAGTAAGTGATCTATCAGAGTATTCGCCATCCGCTGTTACCATCTGCATTCTTCCCTTAAGATAGGCAAAAAACCAATTCATTGTAAGCTCCCCAAACCCATAGTGTCTCAGTTTCCGCAAAAGGACTTTATATTTATAAGGAGAATGATAAAGGTCTCTGTTCTGTTGACGACATCTTTCGTTTGACAAAAAACTAGCCAACGTACACAAAACTACATCCTTCTAACTCAAATAGCAACCAAGTTATCCAACCAAAATTGGACACCCTGTATACATTAAGGCTCCTATTTATTTATTTTTTAATATTATTCACTGGATGACTATGGACAAATATGGGTGAATTCGTAGAATATATATAAAGGAGACTTGACCTAATAAATGCGTTAAGTTTGTTCAGAAAATGGGTATTTTTAGTAGATGGCGCGCAACCCAACTAAATCAAAAATAAAAAAATATTTTTTTGCAATATTATTTCGATCAGCGAAATTTGTGGTTGTCAATGACCAAGGCTATTAAACAACGAGGAAAGGGTGGTCCATAAGAGAAATTTTATAGGAACTTATTATGTCATGAAATTGAAGTTTCACACATTTCCAAGGCGCACGTGTTTTTAGGTATCTGATTGCGATATTTTCTTTATTCTAATCCTCCAAAAATATTAACATTTTTCGCCCGTTGACAGGCCACGAAACTCAATAATATTCTGGTATTTTGATTATTTTCCAATGGTTTCTATGGAATAGAAGAATAGTACATAGTACGAGAATCACTTTTTTTCCCGCCCACTAATTTCCAAATTGTTTAGGTATTTTAGTGGGTATAACACTGCTTTATTTAATATCAAATATTAAGGCCGCGTTAATGGCCGCCATGTTTAAACTGTGATTGGTTGATTTTTCGAAACTTGTTTTAAAGTCTTTAAAAAAACGGCACATCAGAATTGGCTCAAATTTGGCATAAACATTATTTGATCGATTATCTACAATTCCTTATTTTGGTTTTTCGATATTCAGCCTTTTTTTTAAATTCAAAAATTATGTTCGCAACCACCAAAACAATTAAATGTGTTGGTGGTTGCATATTTGCATGTTTATCAAGCTTGGATCCATGAAAAGCATATTTTATTGATAACCACGAAAAACTAACAAAAGCTAATTGTAGAGATTGTAGATAATATATATCAAATAATGTTTATGTCAAAGGATTTTGTAAATTATTGCGGATTTTTTGAGATCACCTTAAAACGAATTTTGAAGGTGAAAACAGTTCAAGCAATTTCAAGTAGATGGCGCCACGGCAAAAAAGCTACATTGGGAGCATCATAATTGTATATTTGTCTTTCTCTGTCACTAAGTGTTTCACCGACAAACAGATTTTGTTTTGGACAAAAAATAAAATATTGAACCGTATGTGTAGACGCAGTCGTCATTTTCAAAAACTAAATTTAAACATGGCGGCCATTAACGCGGCCTTAAACATTAATTTAACTCATAATATAAGAAAATATCGAATACTTGATAGAATGTGTAGGTATTTCTCAGATTTTGGTGTTAGGAAATGTGTTGCTTTTCTATCTAAAGACACAACCATTTTTGTACAACCGTCACAAAAAGGTGACTCTTTTGGAGAAATTTGGCAGCACTCTAATCGCGGTTTTCTCGAAAACTGTCAGTTATAGGATATAATACATAAAATATGGTTATAACTTCTCTTACAACCCATAAATCTAATAATATAAGAATATAAAGAAGTTGATGGCACGATGATCGAACTGAATGCGACAGTCAAATGTTTTTATGCTGAAATTTTGCATTGGGATCAATAATATACATACTCAAAATTTAAATCGATATCGATTTTTATGCCCAAACTAGAGTTGGGTAAATAATCAACTTGAAGGATTTTTTAGCGACTAACCATTTTTAACCGTGTTATAAACGGGTACTGAAAGTACATCATATTTTCAGTTACCGTTTATAACGCGGTTACAAACGGTTAGTCGCTGAAAAATCCATTTAGTCAACACTGATATTTATACGTCTGTTCTCACAAAAGTCCTGACAGTTTGCAAACTGTCAGAAACACTCGCTCAGCCAAGTTACCGATTTATCTTGGAACGACGGCATTGAAAAGATGTATGGGCGATGCTTTCTGACAGTTTGCAAACTGTCAGAGACTCTTGTGAGAACAGACCTTATGTTAACATATTTGATTTGATTGGGGTTTGATACTATTCATTTCTCACTTATTTTTCAAAAATTTCGAAATCGTTGGTAACCATAGGGGGTTAGATATTCATCACCTGTAGGTTACCAGACCCTTCCGTTCAACGCCTGTTTCACAACGAATACTTCCGAAGGTTATGAAACCACTGGTTTTTGCAATTGGAATCATACTCCTCAAAATAATCAATTCTAGACCTAAATATTCTAGATCCTCTTGCTTCTTCATCGCTGCTATACACATTTTTTTCGTTATTGTCCATATTCGGATTATTTGCATAAAAAAACTGACGTTTTCTAAATTTCTAAACTTACCTACATAAAAAAAATTCTAACCTACAAATCGAACAGAATTCCCGCTTGTATCACTTGGCCAATTAGGTAGTAGCTGATGCTTTGAATATAAAACTACAGGATTTTAGCGGTGTTAAGTGATAATAAGCACCGGGATTAGTGCGAAAAGAGTGAGTCATAATATTGACAATCATATTTAAATAAATATACGCCACTGCCAAACCGGAAACACTAGTCGGCCATATGCAACCTCTACATATTCTGATCGCGCAGATTCGAGGTTTTGCTCCTTCCTGTTGTTTTATTTTCAAAGAGCTGACGTCACACACAACCACAATTTGATGTTTGGCCCCCTATCGAAATTGACGTTATGTCATTAGTGACAAGCTAGCTCCTATGTGTATAAATGGTCTTTCAAACGCTTTGTTTGTCCCCCCAACGAAAATGAGGTTATGTGTGTGACGTCAGCTAGTGCCTAATTAGGCTCTCCAGACCACGTGATTTTTCAATATGGCGAATTGGCAAATTTGACGTTTGTTTGTTTATCTTGAGTTAATTTGGAATATTTTCAAGATAATTACAGTTTACTTTGTTATAATATACTTTTTCTACAACTGTCAAAAAATGATGATTTTCGCACACTCATGACAGTTTGCGAAGTGACCCTTTTTTTCCCAGGTACGTATTGATTTTTTAACGTTCCCATGTCGCCGTGCGTGAACTAGCTATTTCGCACACTGGTGCGCGAAATAGCTAGTTCGCACACTGGTGTCATGGTGACACATACCTGTCAGGAAACCAAAAATAATTAAAATTCACCTACCTTTGATTGAAAATGCAATTTTGGCTTCAAATGATCGATATTTAAATGGAGTTGTAGAAAATAGCTATTTATACAATTAGTTGCGAAATGAGCGACTTTTAGGCACGCGACGTGGAAATTGTCCAACGAGGCAAAGCTGAGTTGGACAACACGTCGAGTGACTAAAAGACTTCGTTTCGTAACGTATTGTATACAAGATTTTTTCTACTTGCGTTTCATAATAAAAAAACACAATTTTATTTCAATGTTTGTCACCAGATTTTGCTTGACACCTTTCATGATGGTGACTAATATTCATAATAAATACAAAACAAAATTCAAATCTGTGTTTAGTGTGTTTTTTATTTCTGAACAATGAATGACACTTTTAGGCACTAGTGCTTAAAAGTTACTTTTACGCACTTGAAAGTCACTTTTACGCGCTTGAAAGTTACTTTTACGCGCTTGAAAGTCACTTTTCGCACTGAGTGTCTAAAAGTCACTTTTACGCACTGAGTGCTTAAAAGAATGTCGTTTCAAAACTAAAATGACAATCGAAAAGTTGCTATTATGAAACGTCAGTAGAAAAAATATTGTTTGCAACTCGGGCGCGAAATACTTTGGTGATCTCGACTATTTTTTTAACTCGGCTGCGCCTCGTTAAAAAATCAGATCTCGATCACCAGAGCAGCATTTCGCGCACTAGATACAAAAATAACTATTTCGAAATGCAGAGTGAATATAAGACCTATATGCAGGAAAATCGGGATGTGGGCGAACGATGAGTTTGAAAATATGTCTATTTGACATTTCTTTACATTTTAACCTATACTTTATTTTTTTCCAAGATAGATTTTGGCATTGTCAACTTTGAAACATAAACAATGCCGCTAATGCCTCTTATTGGTCGCTATTGTAAAACTGATGTCAACCTGCAGAAACACCTCATTTTGAGACCAGTCAGGGTCAAGCGTTATTGTTTATGTTTCAAAGTTTTCAATGTCAAAATCTATCTTGGAAAAAAATAAAGTATAGTTGTTACAGCAATGAGCAAATGAAAGGCCTACAAAAGCTTAGATTCTTACAAGTATTTCGAGTATGGCTTTATGTCAGATGCAGGAACAGTGGTACTGGATAATTTCTACGTTTCAATTGGAAAAATTTGAAAGGTTGGGCACTGAAAACAACTTGACATCATCCTTGTTGAAACACCTTCTAAAATCAACTACAAGACACCTTTGTGGCATTTTTAATTAGAAAAAAGTCTTATGATGTCAATAAAATAAAATAATAGATAGGGTTTAGTCACAAAACAACCACACAATGCACTTTAAAAAGCTTCAAATTCTGTACTGTCATATACGGAATAAGGAACTTCCGCCCCGGTCGCCATTTTGGAATAGTTTTGACAGGTTGTTGGAATGCCTAATAGCTAACGCATATCCAAGTTCAGGTAGACTGTAGGTTAACTATAAATTCTTGAGGTAACCGTTGATTATGAAACACCATTTTTTATTTAACTAGTAGTTACAGGATAACCTGTAGTCTGTAGTTAACCAACTATTGTGAAACTGGCCCGTAAGTAGTCTGTCCAAGGGACAAACTCAAACTATAATTTTTTGTTTTTGACGTGAAACTTCTTTACGCACGGTAGGGTAAGTTCCTAGAATGTGTGTTTGAAGAAGTTTCACTTCAGTAGCGTGTTGTATGATTACACGTTGTATTTACTACTAACCTGAGAAATAGTCATTATTCAATCTATTTTTCTGGGAAAAAAATGAATTTTACTCCCTATATGAATAATGGTAATGATAAAAAAAAAACCTAGATCAATAATGAAAATGACGTCTTGACGTACCAGGTTTCTATAGTGGTTTACGATCAATTTTGACCTGTCAATTAAAAAAGTAACAGGTTCCTGTATGTACCGGGTGTTTTTTTTCATCTGTGATATCATTTTGATCACCTGTACATAAACAATGCATATACAGGTGATCAAAATGATATCATAGTTGAAAAACCACAGTGTACATAGGAAATTAACGTATGCTGTTGATAGAGTGCGGTACTTTCGAGAAGCCATTCAAAAAATAATAATTTGAACACAATTATTTGAATAATAAATATTCTTTGGTAGAGCAAGTCATTATATACTTTGCTGATTATTAACCTCGGAACTTCGCGCCTCGGGTTATATAAGCGCTCGGTATATAATGACCAACTTCTCTACCTAGGTATATAATATACCGAGTAATATTTCGCGCCACGCCCCACCTGGTGTTATCCAAAGTTGTATTTGGGGACGTTTCGTTATATAAAACTGGCCACACACATACTTGGTGCCTATTATATTATTTTTTGTAATTCAGTTACGAAATTTCATCTTTTTGACATTGATTTTAGTTGTAAAAGTAGTTCATTTTAACACAAATGCCAAAATAAGCAGTGTGTTCTAATACAGTGTTAAAATGAGATCTCTTTTCATCACTGAGTGTTAAAATGGGATTTAGAGTGCGTTCAGTGTCAGTGTTAAAATGAGTTTATATTTTAAATTTTAAACATTTAGAATATGTTTTGACATTTTTCCGCAAAATTTTTTTAGCGTGCGAAAGTACCACTTTTCCGCACAGAGTGGGGAAAAGTTTTACTTTTTTTTTTACAGGTATACTACAGGTACAGGTACGGAATATTTAAAAAAATTATCTTAAATTGGTAAATATTATAGGAACAAATGTAAACTTCCATCTCGTAGAAAATTTAGTGTTCCTAACTCGTGCGGAAAAGTGGCACTTTCCGCACTAGTTAGGAAATATAACGGCTATTCGAGTGTAGAATTTTGAATTCCACACGTGTTTCAGACTATACTTTTTCTACGACTATCAAATGAAACAACCAATGTGAGTTTCATGAACATTAGGCAATCTATTCCAATATGGCCGTTCAGGTCAAATTGTGGTGAAGTTCATGAAAAAAGTATTTTTGTTCAGGGCCCTTATTGTTGTAGATGCCAAACATGACAATATGACAATGCCAATGTCAAACCTAAATATCCAGAATGTGACAGTAACCTAAATGTAAACAACACGGTGTCTGACCCAATGAACACAAAACATCCCCCCTTAGAAAGGTAAGTGCCGTGTTGAGAACCTGTCTATAAGTTTTCAGCGCCTCTAGTGACTGGGGGGGTAAGCTTTTGTAATTCTGGATTTATTGGCGAATGCAAAACGCAATTAGGGTTCGTTCGGTATCTTATTCGTTCCGGTGGATCGTTTGCACCATTGTTTGATTCTAGCGATTCAACACCACCACTTTAAAGTTTCTACCATTTTTTGGCATAAAATAATTGTGCCAAAAAGAAGAAACTCATAAAATCGGTAGTGTTGAAGCGCCTTCAAGGTAAAATTGACTAAGAATTAAGATAACAAATTTAGATATTTATTAAAGTTTGAAACAGAAAATATTAAAGAATATGGAATTAATTACAATTTATGCGAAACAGTTTTTTTTTCATGTAAATACATACATAGGTAGGTAATGCTAGTTAAGTTAAAGATAATAAGGACAGTTACAAGAAGTAATGACGTACATTTAACAATAGCTTGATGAAAAACTTAAATCGTAAATAAAATGACAAAAGAGGTCCTTTTCTCACAATCCAAAATCGTTGTTAACCTAACAAGTGAGGAAAGTGTTTCTGCACGTGATGGAAGTTGCACGAATGACAACAAAAAGCAGAGTTCGGACAAGCCTTTAAGTCCAGAAAATACACTTTCCGCGTGTGTTAGGTAGAAAGTTTATGTAGTTATACATAATATAAAGCTCATTCAAGAAAATGATTTCGCCTGGATGATAGAATAAATATTTTTGATAATAGTCTATACCCTTTACCACTAGCTTTAAGCAAAGACAACGCCAACAACTTCTCGTTCAATGTAAATCGTCTAGCTTTAGGCTTTTGGTTTTGAGTACGGACTTGGCTTAAAATAAAGCTGTATATCAATGGATTGACGTGGTCTACGAGCCTTTGAAATTTGGTTTATGATGCAAGTTATTCAGCAGCAGAAACTTTGGATTTAAATGACGACAACCTTCTACTGATTCTTCTTAACTTATTGCTGGATTCTATAACTTTGGAATAAAGATATTTTTCCCTTGGGGATAGGAATTTTTTGCCTAGTGACGTTAATGTTCTTTAAAATTTGGCATCGTCTCTCATGACCTGCAAAAAAAAAATAGATCAAGATTGGAGACGAGCTTTTCGCACATTTAGCTTCTAATTTTTCTAGAATTCGACTGCAAGTTTTAGTAATTAGTAGTCTTTTATAGTAGTAGTCCTAGTTAGGATGTTTTAAAATTCACCTACTCCCAACTGGGTGGTTATTCATTAAGCAATAACACTTAGGTACCTACCAATAAAAGTTTTAAGAGACAAAGTTGGTTGCTGACTTTTTCATGTTTGCAGATGTGATGGTTCCACTTGGTGTAGCAATGTCTGCCCGAATTGCAGAAGTTTCAGTAGATAAAAATTGACGACATGAAGGGCCTGGTTGATCTAAAACAGAAATTTCAATGATTCTACCAAAAAAGTTTGGATACACGCATTGTAGAATATGGTGTACCTGTATGTAACCAGGAATATTTTAATTATTGTGTCTCCTGATAAAGGAATAAACATTTAAAAAAAAGAAATGAATAATATTAGCTTTGTTCCAACACAGCAGAAAACCGTACAATGTACCGTCACGATTCTGCGCAGAAACTAAAATTGTTATACTGAGTGGTTTCGAAACCGTTCATGGGACGATTTTTTGACGTGTTGGAACAGAGTTATTATGTTTACCTACCTATGTCAATCATAGTTGCGAAACTAATT